ATATATATATATACATTATTCTAATAAGATGAAAACTAAACTCTTTAAAATAGCTGATAAAAACAAAGCAAAAAAGTTATCTTGAATACAATTAATTATTAAAATAATATATTTTTTACGACTTTCCTAAACACACATCAGTTTAATAAGGAAAAAAAAATAAGCACAATCTTAAAAAAAAAAGTAAATTAAAAGTCTAACTTAATCTACAAAATTAGCTTATAAGGTAATGATTATTCTTTCATTTATATACATTATTATGATCTTATTTTTTGTTAATGTGGTATCTCCAACACACCCCCTCAACACAAGAAGTGGACATCTCAAACCTGAAATTTGCAGGACTGGACATATGTAAATAGTCTAATAATGAGCCAATAGTGGGTGACCTAATAAATTCAACAACAATCCCAGACTTTATCATGCATTGATACCATCTTAAGAAAATCGATTATGAGTCTAACTCAATCCTATAAAATCGATTTGTAAGATGAAGATTACTCTCCACTTATATATACTATTATGATCTTATTCCTAATTAATATAAAATCTCTAATACACAGATCAATGACTTATTTTTATCATTTGAGTATCATCACAATGTTCTAACCATCTAAAAGATCACTAAATAAATAAATAAAATTTGCTATTGATAAATTCTATATTACACACAAATATCTAACTAGTTAAACTTTAATCTCTAAAAACATTTCATCTTTTTTTTTTTTTTTATCAAAAGTAAATAGTATACATCAACAAAATTTTTACAAGTCTCTTAAAAGAAGTGATGATAAAACACAAGACACTCTTCACTAGCTAGTAAAGAAAAACATGTTATTTTACAAAATTGAATGTTTTAATATTGACAAGAAAGTGTGTATATGTGTAACATGGAGAGGCTACATAGGGAGAGGCAGACAAACAAAGAGAAAATGAGCTTTAAATGTTACCCTGCGTTTTATGACATTTCAACTATTGTTTATCAAGATTTTAAACAATTAATACTACAACTTTTTTTTCTTTATATCTTCTTAAAATCAAATTGCCATAGAAAATGAATGAAAAAGATCAATTTTACTGCTAATGTAAAGTTGTTGCAAAGACTACTTGAAACGTTCAAACTTTGATGCTCTATTGTTCCCACATCATTTTTATCTTATTTTAGTACACTAAAAGCATTGTAACATTATTTATAATAACACTTTCTTGTTGGAGTGTTGTTTAATGTGCTCTATATATTTTTAATACTACTTTAATTTATAAATGTTGTCTATGTTGTGTTGTTATATGTATTTTTTGTAGTATTGACTGATGCACAGTTGAGAATGTTATCATTTTTATAGGTCTTAAGTTAAATAATTTATTATTAAAGGATTGTAAATAATGGTTGTTGATTTGTTGATCTGGTTACTAATATATATGCTTATTAATTGTTTTTTTGGTTCTTATAATAGAGGAAGGTAAAATGGAGACCAGAGTATGAAAATAATATCAAAAAGCATGATAACACAAAAGTTTCTCATAAATTTTCTGAGATATTTATGGAAGCTCAAAGGAACAATAGGAAACCATACTAGATTGGAGATCATTTGTGGAAAACTTTATTAGAATATTGGAATGCACCTATATTTCATTCTAAGTGTATACAAATCCAAAAAAACTAGCATCTAAAAAGGGTGGGTGAATGCACACATGTGGCTCCATTAGCATCCATGAACATGTCCTTCACATTGTATGTTTATATTTTAGTGGTCTTTTTTAACATATAATTTTATATGAACATTTTTTATTTATATAATGTTTTTATTTACATGTAGAGGAACTTGGTCGACCTGTACATATTGATGAAGTCTTTCAGCAAACACATATATGAAAAGATATTGGTCAGTTTGTTGATGATAACTCTAGGCAGACACATGTGAGTCCTTTGTGTTGCTTATTCTTTTTTCTTTCAATTTTATTAATATTTACTTTATTTTTACACAATGTTTATTTTGATAATAGTCAGATTTGGAAACTAGACTTTCTCAAATCAGGTTTGAAGTTAGATCTATTGTTGGCACTTCTAAATGCACTCCTCTAGACCTTGTTGAGGAGGAGAGACTTAGGAATTGATGTTGGGATGTAGTTGTTGGTAGAAAATATATGTGATGTCATTACAATACAAGAGATCTTGCTCAAAGTTATGAGAATGGAGATGGAAACTTTATGCATCAGATGGGAGAGACATCTTCTAGTCAAACTCAAAATTCATAAAAATTTACTCAATTGAAACAACAAGTTTTAGCTAATGAGGAGGAGATGCGTCAAATGCAGATGCAGTATTAGACTTAGTTTCGAACCTTTGTTAGTGTTGTACTTCCTTTCTTACCACCTACCATGCAAAATATTTTTTTAGCTACAACAACTTAACACTCAACAACAACAACCAAATATGACCCCCAAGAGCAACAACAACATGATGATGGCCACCAGCAACTAACACGTGATGAACCAAATGACCAACATTAGCACTTATCAGGATATTCTGATTATTAAATTTTTAGACAAACTATATTTTAATATATTTATGCTTAATTTTATATAACTAGAATTTACTTTGTTATGTTTTAGTTTATTAAAACCAAACTCTTCAAATGAAATGTTATGAGTGGTTGAATTTGTCTTAGTTTAAATTATATTAATGTTCTTATATTTTATTTATTTTGATTTGGTGATATTATAAACATGTTTATTAATAATTTAATAAAAAAATTAAAATGAGTTTTTAAAACTATATGGGCATTACAAACGGATTTACAAACAAATTTATTCGTTTATAATTTCTCACAAACAAATCCGTCCATAATTACACACGAATATATTTGTCGAAAAGAAAAATATATATATGCAGCCAATGTTCCCACTTACCCATGGATATATTTGTGGGAACTTATCCACGGTTTTATCTGTCGATAAGGCCATGAAATTATAGAAAGATTTTTTCATCGATAATTGTATCTGAATATTACCCACAATGTGAAATCTGTCGATAATAATTTCATACGAGCATTTTATCAATGTAATTTGGTCTGTTTGTAATTTGTGGAAAACTTGACATTACTCACTGATTTACTGGATTACAGACAGAT